CAAGACTAACTTTACTAGGGCGTTTTATGTTCATGTTGCAATTAATATGTCTCATCATAATTATAATCAGTCAAAATTATTATATCAGACATTTGGAATGATAGGAGTAATAAGAGTCCATTAATATATCAAATCACCAAAACAAATAATGTGTTGAGTAATAAAAGTAAGTGAATGTATTTTGTTTGATACATTATAGATTTCAATCCCATTTTCCAAATAATACCAACTTAGGTACCCACTAAAATTTTGATCGTGTATTTGCGACATCAATTTTATAAACATTGTTTATGTTATATAGGCATTAGTAATAAAATTCGAAATTGTCTGATTTTATTTCACAATAAACTATTTTATGTTTTTTATCGTTGGAATTTTCCACGAGTTGTGTGATAAATATTTGGTTTACTGATTTTCAATTATTTTGTCAGTGTAAAAATTTTTGTCGTACGATTTGTGAAAATCTGAATACTTATAAAATAGCCTTTGATAACCTGATATTTTAAAGTAAATTTAACTATTTAATTTAGATTAAATGTATCAAGGCATTTATATACATTACTAGTAAATTTTGTTATAAATACACTATGCTAATAAATTATCATATTTTAAATATGAGTGGCTGGTTCAGAGTCTTTAGAAATTCTGATTTTTTATGCTTAAAAAATAATATTTTTTTAATTAGTAATTAAATTAAATTTCAGTACACAAAAGTCAATTTTGACTTTTAGCAATTACACAGTGAGATACCTTCATGACAAATAATGTAAATACAACTTCTGTTTGAAATACATATATTATGGGCATATTTTCGCACTGGATTCAATCTTTGTATTGAACTTTGCCAGAGGAATTAATCATCAGTGTTGGAATAACTACTAATTTATAAATTATTTTTTTTAACTAATTTTACATTTTTTTTACTATTTTCTTGCTGTTTATACCTCGCCAATATAAAAGTTTAAATAATTCTTTCTACCCCAAATCACCCCAATCACAGGTAAACTATTCTAGAGGTTATATGGAAAAACTGTTGAATCTGACATAAAAATAACAATATATTTTATGAAAAAATTAAATAACATATACTAAATAATTATTTCAGGTATCGTAAACGCAACGGACGCGTGCTTTAAAACGTAAGACTATAAACGAAAAAAAAACTTTTGTTACAAATTGGAAATGTGGCCGTATATCTTGTAGTAGCTCAGGCAATTTAAGGCTATGTCTAGTTACACATATTTTGCTCTTTACTTTCAAATATTGTTAATAATTCCTAACTTTACTTGTTTTTTAGATAGTTGGAGTGGTTCTATACCTCTATATTTTAAATAATTTTAGATATTAATATTAATGCAATGAGACATAAAAATAAGTATATGTAATCAGCAATATATATCTGCATATGTAATTTAAATAAATCTTATCAAAAATAATAAACTATGTTTCATTCGGGTATTGATCGGTCCTTTCATACCGTGTCATAAATTTGTAAACCGCCATATATTTTATTATAAATATTATGAACGCTATATAAACTTCCAATTTAATCATCTATATAAAAGGTTCAGATATATAGTCGAACTCGTACCAGATAATTATCGCAGTATGTATGGTACCGTGACCTAGTTAAACTAGCGAACATCGTTACTTCCACATAGCGTTTACTCCGGGCGCAGAGATAACTTTGCCTTTCTGAAAGTCAAGAGTTGAACTTTTATATTACAAAGCATTAGACGGCGATTCATTTATTTTTCGTGTTACTTTCAACTTTATTATTATTATTATTATAATTAAACCAATAGTAAGTTTTGAACTTTATCCTCAATTCCGCCGACGTAAAGCTTCAACCAGCTTGACGTTTCCACATGATACAGTGCCAGTCATCAAACTGTCGAGCGAATGTCTGCAGAGTTAATTAATATTTGTAATTGATGCAGTTTTAGTATTGGTTTGTAGAAATTCCTAGTTTGAAATTATAAACAGTGCTTAGTGGTAAAGCGCTTTCAGAAACAAAATGCAGATCTTAATTATGATATCGTTGTCATTTATTTCAATACTAGCCGTCGGCGAAACTATGAAATACAGATATTAATCAAATTTGTTAAATAAACAGCATGATGGAGTAGGCAAAGTATGCCAACGCTTGATTCCGGATAGTGCTTTTATAACAATTCATCTAAAAATAATATTTAAATATAAATATATTTTAAGTTAATTTTTAAAAGAAGAAGAAAGCCTTATCTCTATATTGCACACAAATTTCAATTACCTACAGTAGTAACTCATTTTCAAGCGAATTCACTTACTTTATCTATTTTAATCTAATTTTTTATTCAGAAATGAGTTTCCCTATTTATATTTATATATGCATATATGATTTTTCATTAAATATTAATATAATTCAAAAAATCATGTAACTATAAAATATATTTTCATCAATTTCGGATTTTAAACTATTTTCAATTGGTGACACGCCCGGACTCATTATTCATTCCAATTCAAACTCAAAATGACTCATGACGGCATTAATCATTATTACAAATACATATATCGCAATATATAGCGTACAAATCATTTTAATAATGATTGATATTTTGAGTTTTTTAATAAATTATTCAAATTAATAATATTCTCAAATACTAACTGAAGAACAATACACAATGGCGTATTGTCGTGATAAACATGAGATTTTTGTATTCAAATCTAATTACGTAATTCCTCAGATAAATAACATAAAAGTCCAACTTCTGTTCGAACTTATTTTTAATTTTGTAATAATATATCACTTCGACACGGCCGAGCATGAATCTTTACCAAAGAGCTTCTCGTTTTCCATCAATCACAGTAAATAACACCCTCGGTTTATATTCAGCACTTTGCGTTGCCGAAGTCCCGCGCACCAGGCAACTTTTTGCAAAATACTACACAGTTGTGTCATTGTAGGAGTGAGATATTTGCTTTTTCAGATATTTGTGGTTCAATGATCTGTCATAATGATTTATAATGGATTGTTATATATTGACACGTATCCTATCAATATTTGTCACTCAATTTTAATATAATGAGTGCAGAACAAAAAAAGTAGACATCAAAAATCAAGATAATGGATTGGATTGAAAACTGAGATTACAACACAATAAAATTAACTCATCACAAAATCAAGTGTATTCTCATTGTTTTTGACTAGCATTATGTATAGAGAAGATGAAGCTATGCCATCTTGCAAACTATATTGAGCATCACGCTGATGACAGTTTGTAAACTTACGACAAACTTTTATAGGAGTTCTTAGTACATATGAGCTCGTTATTACCATATGTAAACTAAAACTTTAAGCGTGACGGCATTAAAAATGGAATAGTACATAGAGAATACAATATCTACAATATAATGATATTGTAACCAGCCTCAACCATTTTTACACGCCTTTGGATCATTGTCTACCAGTAACATTATTAAGTAGGCACTATAATAACATATATTAAAGAAAAATACAAACAATTTCAAAAACTATTTTGTCTATATAGTACTGACAAAATGATATGTAGGGTAAAGACTTACTGAGATGCTAAATTTTAAGAAGGCAAGGAAGGAATAAATTGTTTGGTCCTTTTTGCGACATCTGCACATGAAGCATGAGCCTAAAGGGAGCAAGACATTCATCGTAACCTACCTTCGTTGAACTCAGAACAGAAAAAGAGGTCTTTGCAATAAATGCAAGTTCCTTCTTTTACCGGTAGATCCTTGTCTGTTTTAGAAGTAGAGTAGGGATTAAAAGCCAATCGAAACCATTGACAGGTTTTTGAATTATTAACTTCCCGTAGGGTAATTAACTTTCCGTAGGGTAAGTTATTGTAATGGGTCGAAAATCGAAATTGAAATTTTTTACATTTCTCGACGTTTTGAAGGTTTCTGAACATTTTGGCATACCTCAGAAAAAATGGATGTGTGTGTGTATGTTTGTATAGATACAAATTTCCAGTCACGTTTTCGGGCGTACGGATCAACCGATTTGAATATTTCAAAAATCATTCGATTCCTATTGATAGGAAAAAGAGCTGACTAGTTTTTGGCAAAGGCAGGTCCAGCCGTTACGGAGATACGAAGCAAAGAGTGCAGAAAATAGAAATCGAGTTTTTGTGAGAACGGGGTATCCGATTTGAATGATCTAAAAAACATTCAATTAGTAATGATTGGGAGAAGTGTTTATTAGTTTTTGGCAAAGGCAGGCCCAGCCATTTCGAAGATACGGAGCTAAATGTGTAAAAAATGGCAGTTTTTGAGAGAACTAAGCGTCCGCTTTAAAAGATTCAAAGAACTTTTTGCATGTCTTAACAAAATAATTGATTTAAAAAAAAAAATTGTTTCAATTTTTTTTTTTAATTTCTTTTTTGTATATCGAAAATAATTCAGATTTTACTTTTAATTCTGACTATAGTTCTAATATACTTTAAACAAATAATTTCAACTTTGCAATTCGGTTTAAATAATTCTTATAAATATTAGACAATGTTACAATATTAATAATAATCTATTTGAAAACATTCAGTATTCCTCGAACATTCCTTTACGGTACGGGAAGTTCCAGCACTTTGCCTTAAGGCACGATGCCATACACCCCACTAGTTTTTTCTTGACCTTGAATGAACTACTCTGTCAGGCTTGCGAGATAGTGCTATGTCATTTTGTTCATTGTATACGTATGTCATTTTGTTTGGAAAGTGAACTAAAATGAATAAATGATAAACTAAGACTAATAATGAAAAAAGACTTATTTTAAAATTTGTATGGCATTGGTAGATAATTACTGCATGAAATCTTAGTAAAATATTGTAGTTATATAATATAAGGTTTTATTAAATCAATTGCATATTATTCACTGTCATGAAAATAATTTTTTAATATGTTATATAAATCTTAGACCTTCATCAGTTTATGTATATTTTTTCAAATTGTTATTCTATGTAATCTGATTCCCTTTCTGCGATATTTTCCAGCACGGCAATGCTGCGACATCAAGCGAAGCTAGTGTGGGCACAGCGCCCGGCGGCAGCGTTACTTCGAGGGCGCCTAGCGACTCGCGAGGCTCGGCCAGCGCAACCGTCAGCGGTAGTGCGGCCGGTGGACCGCATTCTGCGCATACGGGCGCCAAATTCCGACATGGACTGCTGCAGCTCATGATACATACAATCGATCCACTTCACGACGGTGAGTTTTAAACGATCATTTGAATATTTGTAATAGCACCCTAAAATAGGGAGTAATCAAAAATTTAATTAAAATTTTTATGATACCTGCCGATATTAGTTTTATGACTGTGTGGCAATTGATATATTACACGGAAATTGAATATTGTTTAATATTTGGAATTTATAAAGTGTAAAATATGCGTCGATAAAAGCTTCAAAATAATTTAAGTTGTAAAACAGCGTTAAATTATAATAATGTTAACTTCATATAATATTCATATTTCTGCGAATCCTTGTCATCCTCAAAGAATTTATTCAGATTAAAAAAAAAGTTAAAAATCATTTTTTCCCTAGTTCTCTGTCCGCAAGTAGAAATTTTTTCCACCAACAGTTTAACATTCTCACTGTTCCTTGAATATTTTTGCTAATCACGTTGTCATTCATTAAGAATAATAAAGAACGCTTCAGTTTATCTATCATGTCAAATTCCTATCATATTATTATTACAATTACAAATTCCTATTATATTATTATTACCAGAAGTTTTACTACAAAGGGCTCAATTTGCAAACTTGCAACATCTTTCGATATCATAGACGGCCTAAAAGTATAGCTTTTTAACTTCCCGTAGAGTAGTTATAGCAATGGGCCGAAAATCAAAAATGGAAATTTTTGCAGTTCTCGACGTTTTAAAGGTTTCTGAACATTTTGGCATACCTCAGAAAAAATGGGATGTGTGTGTGTGTTTTGTGTGTCCGCATTTTTTTGTTCACGTTTTCGGCCGCACGGATCAACCGATTTGAATGGTTTAAAAATCATTCGACTCCTATTGATAGGAAGACGTGCTGATTAGTTTTTGGTGAAGGCAGGTCCAGCCGTTACGGAGATAAAGAACAAAGAGTGCAGAAAGTATAAATCGAATTTTTGAGAGAACAGAGCATCCGATTTGAATGATCTAAAAAACATTCAATTTGTAATGATTGGGAGAAGTGGTGATTAGTTTTCGGCAAAGGCAGGTCTATTCATTTTGAAGTACAAAAAATTGCAGTTTTTGAGAAAAATAAGCATCGGATTTAAATAATTCAAAAAACTTTCTGCTTATGTTCACGAAACTTTGCTCTTTTTTGTATATCCAAAATAATTCAGATTTCAATTTAATTCTGGATAAAGTTCTAAAGCTCACTTATCAATTTTAAGTGAATAATTTTAACTTTGTAGCTCAGTTTATATAATTTTTTATAAATATTAGAAAATATTACAGAATTTATAATAATCTATTTAAAAACATTTAATATTCCTCGAACATTCTGTTAAGGTACGGGAAGTTTCAGCAATTTGCTTTAAAGCACGATGCCATACACTACTAGTTAATCTACCTTCACTACAGAATCGATAATAATATTAGTTTTAATTATTTACTCTGGAATAGTTTTTTCTGTATTTTGAAAATTATTGAATGTATTGTTATTAGATACTTTGTTGTCACACTTAGCGAAATCAGGTCATATTGTAAATAGTACAATGGACATTATTTTTCGAATTACTTCCGAATAAATTTTTTATTGATACACACACACACACACACACACACACATATATATATTTATATATATACATATCCGATGTACACCATTAAAGAGAATTTATATTTTCGATTTATTTTGCGCGCATGATTTTAATATGAAATATACAGAAATACTAATATCATCATATTGAAATATCATTCTAATTTCATCTTATATATCCCACATCCTCCCCAAGAAACGATCGATATACTCTCACTTCAGCTTTACGTTTATCCTGCAACAATGCAGGAATATTTGAATACGATGAAAATTTAGTGCAGCCGCAATGGACTTTGTTGCAAGTGAATATGCATTCGTTTCAAATCCCGCTTCACTCCACGTAATGGTGCTTATAAATTGAGTCTCGGACACGTGAACAACTCGTGGGCCGGCTAGTCGTACAATATGAAAGGAGCAATTGCATATCAACACGCAATCTGACATTAAATGCCGGCTTAAACGCGTATAGCCCTGACTTATTAAGGGCAAAACTACGCGCAAGTGATTTTCGAAACTACGGAGTTGTTTAATGTAGACTATTATTTTTATAGTGTCATTTTATCTATTAAATAATTAGTATATAAATGTTGTTAGAATTTTTATTTATTTTTCAACTTCTGAGCGTCTCTTCGCCACTTTCAAATAAAAAAAGGTTGTATGTGGATATTTTGAGGAGTTGGTAAACGGAGTGGATCATTCCACAAATAAGAGCAATCTGAGATGCGGTGAGAATATGATAAGTTTTTTACTAAATAATGTTTCCAAACTGGAATATACATTTTATTTATTTCTCTCGTTACTTGGAAACAAAAATCTGATCTAGCTCTAAAGTTGTTTAACGTTTTTCGAAAACCCGCGAGTGGTGTTAAGGCGTTGATTTCTTTAATCTTCTTTATGTCCTCGTAGTTCACTCCCGTTTCATTTACTACACTTTATAAAAAACTTTGTGATCTCTGTATATAACGGTTGAATTCTAAACAATGGTCGATATATAATACATTTATTTATTAAAATAATTCGAGAAATCCTTGGGCGCTAGTTTTTCAATATGTGTCTGGAATAGAAAAAAGCTTACAAATTGAAATTATTATATTTACATACACAATGTAAGATTTACCTTTAATTAAGGTGACCATACGTCGCGATTGGCTGGGACAGTCCCGATTTTCCCGCCGTGAGTCCCGGCTCTTTCTAAAAGCAATATTTGACCTGGTTTTAGGTGTTTTGTCTCGGATTGTCCCGGATTTTTTAAATTGTTTTGATTGCCAATATTTTTTTAAATATGTTTTAACTAGAAAATTTGAACTGAAAAAATGTGCATATAAGTTTTTAAGCTCACCAACACTCTTCCATCCGCTCTCACTAACATTCTAATCCGTCCCGGATTTCATGCAATAAAATATGGTCTCGTTTTAATTCATATTAATACACATGTCAGCAATAACAGTGAACAGTTTCTTGTAAGAGTAAATGGATTTATAACCAAGATAAGTATATGTAATAATCAGTATCTTTTGTATTGAATGAAACAAAACATAATAAGAAAATAATTGAAACATAAAAATTTACTTAGGCTATTGTAGAAATAAATTATATGCACCTATATCCGGTGCCTACTTGAAATAAATAATATAGTAACTATAAAAATATTTAAAACAAATTTTCAACAAAAATAATAATAAAAGATTAAAAAGAATTGTGAGCCAAGCACCATAGATTTTACTTCAATCATAAATTGGAAAGAATCAAGTAAAACAATTTAAAGATAATTGGTAAGAAGTATGTAAATTAATTGGAAATAATATAAAAACAATTAGAAAAATAGATTTTTTTGACGCGGTTAAATTGCATTTTGGTGCATTTGGCATGGTCAACTCTGGATACCAACTCCTCAATTGCGGATCCAATTATCATAATTGATATTTATGAATTTTTAACAATTTGAGCAAATAAAATAAGCCGAAATGCCATGTGTATTAAAACTTTTCAACCTAAATTTGTTTATATATTCTGTAACAACACTTATAATTAAGGTAATAAACTCTATTTCCAAAATACCTTATTCTTGAAAGATCTTTTATTATATCGGATTGAATGAATGAAATATGTGACGATTATTAATAGGTTTATATAGACAATAGAATTAGCAAATTTAACAAAATATACAAAAAACGAAAAATAGATTTTTTTCGACGCGGATAAATTGCATTTTGGTGCATTTGGCATGGTCAACTTGGAATTGAGGAGGTTACCAACTCCTCAATTCCGGAACCGATTATCGTAATTGATATTTATGAATTTTTAACAATTTGAGCGAATAAATGAGCGACAATGCTATGTGTAATAAAACTTTACAACTTAAATTTGTTTATATATTCTGTAACAACACTTATAATTAGAGTAATGAACTCTATTGTCGAAAAACCTTACTTTGAAAGATCTTTTATTTATAACATAGTGAATAAATTGAAATATGTAACGATTATTTATAGGCAATAGAATTAACTAATTTAAAGAAATTAGAAAAATGATAATGCTTTCACAATTTTTTCAGTACTCATGTTCTTGTTATGCGAGGTAACAAGAGTTAAGTAAATATAATTATGCGTTATCATCAACTGAATCAGTCATAAAGAGCACATGGATAGGATTCCGGCACCCGCCAAAAATCTTAACACGTTCGCGTTAATAAACGGGGTAACGTAGGGAACATTGATTAAACATTCATCGTGTCTGGCACCTTTTAAACGTATAAGCTTCGGTACGGCAACCGCATTCGCATTAAATATGAACGAACCATGTAATTCTGGTATCCTCGGTTGGGTCTTTAGCGAACACACCTATAACGCAATGTAAGCGTCATTTGCGAAGTTAATCGGGGGATGGGAACAAACTTTCATTGTCTCTGTCAGCTGCATGTCGACACTATCATTATTCGATAAACATTCTTAGAATTTGTCACATAATGTTACATTTTACTTCATCTACAAATTCATTTTTTGATAAATACGTATAAACACCCATTGTTGAAAACTGATCCAAAATATATTTAGTTTGTACTATCTTTGGAATATAAAATTTAAATTGGGACTATCATATTCATTTCATACTAGTACCTAAGTTATCGAAAACTTGTTTCATGTTGAGGATTTTAAATCAAAAGTCAGTTCAAATTTCCTCCTTCCGATTTATTATTCTAATTTATATTCGCATCTCGCATATGGTATACAATTCTTGATTCTCGTCGTCCTCGAGAATATAATCAAATTACAAAAAAGATCATGAAACGATAATTTTTCCCTTAGTTTTTTATTTACATGTAGGTATCTTTTCGACGATTTAATATTACCACTATTTCCTATTCATTTTTGCTGATCACGTTGTCATTCATAAAGTATAATCCTGAATCCTAAATGGTTCAACTTATATTCCATGTCCAATACCTATTAAAAAA